AGGAGAGTGTATGACAGGGAGTGTATGGGGGGAGTTTATATGTGAGAGAGACAGTGTGATGGGCAAGTGCGTGTGTTAGGGGTGAGTGTGTCGGCATGCTGTGTCTAAGTTCAGACAGCAGCCTGAGCCTCCATGCTTAGGTGAGGGGGACACCCTGCCACATCAGCCCCCCCATCTTTATTCATCGCCGCGTCTCATTTGTATATGTTCTTGCACAAGAGAGCACAATGTAGACGTAGCCTAGAAGTTCTCCCACAGCCGCCTCAGCTGCATCCTCAGCTTCAAAGAATGCGTCCTTGAGCTGTGTCAGGAGAGAGGTCCATGCTGACTGGGCAGCTGAGTTCAAAACAGTTGAGCAGAGCAGTCATGGTGAGCATTATGGGATACTGAGGGCTCATCTAGACTACGCGGAAGATTCAAAAGAGGATATGCAAATTCCTGTGGAATTTGCATATCTTCTTCCAATCTCACTTTCGGAAAGTGAAAGTAGTCAAGATGCAATTTTTTCAGCAACTCCCCTACCCTTTTCTGAAAAGCCGCGTAAACCTCATTTTTTGAGGAAAATCGGCTTTTCGAAAAAGGGGGAGGTTGCCGAAAAAACCGCGTCTTGACTACTTTCACTTTTGAAAGCTCCTGTGGAATTTGCATATCCTCTTTTGAATCTTCTGCATAGTCTAGATGAGCCCTGAGGGAAGCTAGTTATGTTGACATAACAAACAGCAGTGTCTACACTGAAGCTTTGTCACTGTAGCATTGCCATAAAGAGCTTTATGTCACTCGTCAAAGTGGTTTTGTTTTGCTGGCAGAGTTTTGCTGTCAAAAGTAGCTGTGTAGTGTATACATCTCCACTGTGTGTTTGTGGGCAAAAGCTGCCTTTTCCTGGCAAAACTGTTCACTGTAGACAAGGCCTTAGCAGCAAATTGGGGCAGCTGCCAGACTGAATTTATCTCCTCTAACATCATCTCCCTTGGGTATGACTCTTGCCTCCCTAGCTGGGTGTGCCCTGGATCCCAGTGCCATGTCCCTGAGCTATAACTCAGGAGAATTAATTTGATGACACGCTGGAGGAAACACGAGGGCCTTTCACCAATGCAGATTTAATGCTCTTGTGTAGTCAGAGAGCAGAATTAGCCTGCCGAATTCCAATTTAAAGGTGAGACTTATGTCAGGAACATTGCCCACAGAAACTGAGCACCTACCCCACACTACACATTGCTTGGAACGTGAATCTCTGCTGATGAGCACTCCAGGACTAAGAACGGGAGACAGGGAGCTGCAGGATAGAGGGGAGGGGCATCAGCAGAGCTATGTGGGGTGAATCCAGGACTGGAGAAGCGGGGTGCTGAACAGAAGTGGGGTGGGTGCATTGGCAGAGATGGGGGGAGTCCAGCATTGAGGGTGCTGCAGGGGCAGAAGAGAGGTGCAGAGTCTTTTTGGGGGGAGGTTTGCACAGCACCTGCCTCAACTACTCTTGGATCCCAAATTCACTCTCCAAAATATAACACATTGAAACTACCATGTCCACATTGAGTGGACCCTGAACCGAGGTTAAGGATGGCCGGAAGCAGTGCCGGCAGGGCATCAGGTTAGGACTTAGGGTATGTCTACACTACAGCGCTAATTCGAACTAACTTAGCATCCAGACTAAAAAACTAGTTCGAATTAGCGTTTTGCTAATTCGAACTAGCATGTCAACACAGAGTGGACCCTGAACCGGGGTTGAGGATGGCCGGAAGCAGTGCCGGCAGGGCATCAGGTTAGGACTTAGGGTATGTCTACACTACAGCGCTAATTCGAACTAACTTAGCATCCAGACTAAAAAACTAGTTCGAATTAGCGTTTTGCTAATTCGAACTAGCATGTCAACACAGAGTGGACCCTGAACCGGGGTTGAGGATGGCCGGAAGCAGTGCCGGCAGGGCATCAGGTTAGGACTTAGGGTATGTCTACACTACAGCGCTAATTCGAACTAACTTAGCATCCAGACTAAAAAACTAGTTCGAATTAGCGTTTTGCTAATTCGAACTAGCATGTCAACACAGAGTGGACCCTGAACCGGGGTTGAGGATGGCCGGAAGCAGTGCCGGCAGGGCATCAGGTTAGGACTTAGGGTATGTCTACACTACAGCGCTAATTCGAACTAACTTAGCATCCAGACTAAAAAACTAGTTCGAATTAGCGTTTTGCTAATTCGAACTAGCATGTCAACACAGAGTGGACCCTGAACCGGGGTTGAGGATGGCCGGAAGCAGTGCCGGCAGGGCATCAGGTTAGGACTTAGGGTATGTCTACACTACAGCGCTAATTCGAACTAACTTAGCATCCAGACTAAAAAACTAGTTCGAATTAGCGTTTTGCTAATTCGAACTAGCATGTCAACACAGAGTGGACCCTGAACCGGGGTTGAGGATGGCCGGAAGCAGTGCCGGCAGGGCATCAGGTTAGGACTTAGGGTATGTCTACACTACAGCGCTAATTCGAACTAACTTAGCATCCAGACTAAAAAACTAGTTCGAATTAGCGTTTTGCTAATTCGAACTAGCATGTCAACACAGAGTGGACCCTGAACCGGGGTTGAGGATGGCCGGAAGCAGTGCCGGCAGGGCATCAGGTTAGGACTTAGGGTATGTCTACACTACAGCGCTAATTCGAACTAACTTAGCATCCAGACTAAAAAACTAGTTCGAATTAGCGTTTTGCTAATTCGAACTAGCATGTCAACACAGAGTGGACCCTGAACCGGGGTTGAGGATGGCCGGAAGCAGTGCCGGCAGGGCATCAGGTTAGGACTTAGGGTATGTCTACACTACAGCGCTAATTCGAACTAACTTAGCATCCAGACTAAAAAACTAGTTCGAATTAGCGTTTTGCTAATTCGAACTAGCATGTCAACACAGAGTGGACCCTGAACCGGGGTTGAGGATGGCCGGAAGCAGTGCCGGCAGGGCATCAGGTTAGGACTTAGGGTATGTCTACACTACAGCGCTAATTCGAACTAACTTAGCATCCAGACTAAAAAACTAGTTCGAATTAGCGTTTTGCTAATTCGAACTAGCATGTCAACACAGAGTGGACCCTGAACCGGGGTTGAGGATGGCCGGAAGCAGTGCCGGCAGGGCATCAGGTTAGGACTTAGGGTATGTCTACACTACAGCGCTAATTCGAACTAACTTAGCATCCAGACTAAAAAACTAGTTCGAATTAGCGTTTTGCTAATTCGAACTAGCATGTCAACACAGAGTGGACCCTGAACCGGGGTTGAGGATGGCCGGAAGCAGTGCCGGCAGGGCATCAGGTTAGGACTTAGGGTATGTCTACACTACAGCGCTAATTCGAACTAACTTAGCATCCAGACTAAAAAACTAGTTCGAATTAGCGTTTTGCTAATTCGAACTAGCATGTCAACACAGAGTGGACCCTGAACCGGGGTTGAGGATGGCCGGAAGCAGTGCCGGCAGGGCATCAGGTTAGGACTTAGGGTATGTCTACACTACAGCGCTAATTCGAACTAACTTAGCATCCAGACTAAAAAACTAGTTCGAATTAGCGTTTTGCTAATTCGAACTAGCATGTCAACACAGAGTGGACCCTGAACCGGGGTTGAGGATGGCCGGAAGCAGTGCCGGCAGGGCATCAGGTTAGGACTTAGGGTATGTCTACACTACAGCGCTAATTCGAACTAACTTAGCATCCAGACTAAAAAACTAGTTCGAATTAGCGTTTTGCTAATTCGAACTAGCATGTCAACACAGAGTGGACCCTGAACCGGGGTTGAGGATGGCCGGAAGCAGTGCCGGCAGGGCATCAGGTTAGGACTTAGGGTATGTCTACACTACAGCGCTAATTCGAACTAACTTAGCATCCAGACTAAAAAACTAGTTCGAATTAGCGTTTTGCTAATTCGAACTAGCATGTCAACACAGAGTGGACCCTGAACCGGGGTTGAGGA